AGGGGCCTGGGCAGGGGTCGAGGACCAGAGACAGACCTTGATGTTTGATCCCAGAAACCTGCTGGGAACCTGGTGGTGGTGGTGGGGGAGTGTTGGACTCCTCTAAATAAACATCTAAAGAGAATGTTATACATATATATATTCGTGTTTGTTAATTTTGAGTAACAGGGTTATTAAAGTCTAACAAGAAAGTTAAACTCTATCAACCATCGTAATGTATTTCTTGGAATACATTACGATGGTAATAAGGAGCCCAGGTAGAATAAATGTATTACATTTTTTATGCTAGGTTTAAGCTAAACCAGTGAGAGCATGGGAACAACAACTTGATATCCAGAGGTGAATTGTGTAAATGATTTATTTTACTTATATATATGTATATATATACACACACTACTATTTTGCCACAGAGCAGTGAGAGAAACCTCAAGTCTGATCAGGAAATGTATGAAATCTGAGCATTTCTATGACAGAGGTGGGGTAATGGGCCATTAATCATCACTATCATTCCCAATAAAGACTCAGATTAATCAAAGCAGAGGACAACCGAGCAGCCCAGTCCTTATCCACTGAGGAAAATAAGGGGCAACAGGTAAGCCTTTATCCATTCAGCCCTGTTCTTGCATTGCTCTCCTATACACGAAGATCATAATTTAGGGAGTATCAATGGCTACCTGAGAGGACCACAGGGGTGGCGAATAGCGGGGGCTGTGGCTTTCTGAGCTTCTTAGCGGTGGGAGCAAAAGGATTTACGGTAACTCTCAGACAAGCGTTCACAGCTTGGACGTTTGGCCGGGAATTGATATTGTGTCTGGCTGAGGATCAAACCCACTGAGCCCGAGGTCCAAAAGTATCTACACAAAAACCTGAGGATGTTTGAATGATAAATCGCCGACATTTAGTGGTGAAGCAGAAAAAATATTGGCCTTGCTGGGGATATCAGCTTTAATCCTAATTTACAGTGAGCGTACATGCTGGGTGGCTTGATTGACCAGAGATCGGCTGCTGGTCTAATTTACACGCTTCTCTTACACGCTCCTCTGACTGAGGATATAGGTTTTCCTGCAGATTCAGCACAGGTGTAATAAGAGAGCGCGACCGTGCAGTGGAAGAAATGTAGTCAGCGGGGGCATTATTGAATATCAGCCACTGTTTCAGGTAAATTGACCGAGTTATCTTTTAGTTGATATCCATTCCTGTTAGATCATTTCTCCACGCAGCTGCAACTTATTTGAGTTCCCCCATAAGCCCTCAGTGATTCTGGTTTTGATAATAGAGGAACCAGCTTTGGGAAATTTCCTGAATACTATTTAATGAGAAAACCACATGGTTTCAATAGCTCAGGATGTTAATATATCTGATGTGCAAAGGAAAAAAAAAAAAAACTCAACTGTGCAAACTTTCCTGTTAAGAAGAATAAAAGTCGACATAAAAATGTTTTGGGAATACTTTATGGGATTTTATGTGTGTTGTGCTCAGGTAATAGTAGCACCGCATATGGTGCTGTCCAAAAGTATTCACATCCCTTGAAATTGTTCACATTTTGTCAAATTACAACCCTCAAATTTCTATAAATTTTATGTAGATTTCCTGTATTAGACTAACAAAGAGTAGCACAAATCTGTGCCAGCAAAAGGAAAATGATACAGGTTCGCAATTATTATTATTTTTGACAAAAATAAAAAAGAGATTCAACTCCTTTTACCCTTGGTTAAAATACAATGCAACCATTGTATTTAACCATGAGACATAATCTACAAATGACAATATGTTTGTTAGGATTTCACAAAGTTTGATGTTCTTGAATTATTGTGCAGTCGACAAATTTTTATGAAAGAAGCTCAAATTTGAGGTTTTCCAAAGGGGAGAAAAAGGCAAACATCTGTACACTGGATATCACTGTAGGAAAACACGGTAGGAGCAGCAGCATGATGAGGGGATTATTTTCTTCACCACAGACAGAAAATGGGATTAAAACTGGGACGGAAGTTCCCTTTTAGGAGGAATACCACCCTAAACATGCAGCCAAAACTGCAATGGAAAAGTGTATTTAGAGCGGCTCAGTAAAAGTCCAAACCTAAACCACTGACACTTAACCTGTGACAACACCTCAAACAGAAGTTTGCAGATCTAATCCAATCAACCTGACTGAGATTAAGAAGAATGGTGGAAAAAATAGCAAAGACAAACCCCAATAGACTTTGCAGCTACAATTGCAGCAAGATTTGGTTCCACAAATGGTAAGAAAACTTTTGAACGACACTGTTGGTCAGATGAAGTTCTTTACACAGCAAAGGCCCAAAAATGACTAATTTACTAATCCTAATTTACCAACCACCACACAGTAAAAGAAAATACTCACAGTGCTAATATTAGGGAGACTGATTAAGGTGCTACTATTAGGGTTTGGCTTTAATACTGGTCAAAAGTAGGAACGCCCTCAACCCTTTCCTTTGGTGCTCATGCCCTCTATCTTCAGTGGCACTCTACATGAAATTTCGAGGAGCCAGACCAAACATGCCAAGGCAGACCACAGGGTTACTCACAGCCGCTGCACATTCTTTTGAGGCTGAAATGCAACCTGGTCCTATTTTTCAGCAGCTTGTCAGGCTCAGTGTGGTGCAGAGAGGCAAACTAGGGAGGAAAACTGTTGTCACCTTTCTATAGCTTTTACCCCTGCAGACAAGGAGGAAGCTTCTGCTGTCGAAGTCAGAGAGAGAGAGGGGAAGAGAGAGAGAGAGAGAGAGAGAGAGGGGCTGCTGGTCGGCATGAAACAGAGGATCCACTAAGAACATCAGCAGGGCCAGAGGAAAATAAAATAAATAGAAAGAATAGGAGTTTATTAGCGATGGACACACTTCGGCAGAGCAGTAAGTGCACAGCAACCACAAATAAACAAAAGCATCTACTAGACTGAAATTGTAGCGACGACATAACAATTTGAGACAAATTCAGTAAACATTGTTGTAAATACCAGAGGAAACCACACCTTCCCCTGTTGGTACTTAGAAAGTAGTAGTTGTTTTTTTTATATATATTTATTAATGCTTTGTCTAAGAGCATCTCTTTCTATTTGTCCCTTTTCTCCTCTCGCTCTCTTTCATTGGTCCCCATTGGACAGCGTTCTGACTTGGCCTGGAAACAGTGGAGGGCATTCAATATGTTCGAGCTTGTCATCAAATCAAGCTTACTTTGAAAAATGCTTGTTATGACTGCAGCCAACCGTATCCACCAACTCTGCACCCAGCGAGAGGGGACGCAGGAGAGGAAGACTTTCAGTCAGTCGCGTCATAATTAATCCAAGGAGACTTTGAAATAATTGTCCAATAACAGACAGAGTGATGCAGTGCAAAGATGACAAGTAGTAATGGAAAAACTTCATATTGCGCCCTGCAAAAGTATTTATGCTCCTTAAACTGTTTCACATGTCAGCCTGCAACCGCAATCTTCCATGTATTTTATTGGGATTTTTATAAAATAGGCCAGCACAAGTCAGAGCTTAATTGAGAAGTGAAAGGAAAATAAAATTTGATATTATTTTACAAATAATAAACTGAAAAGTATGGAGTGACTATTGTATTAAAACTCCAAAAACCCAGTCCAACCTATTTATAGAGTGCACGTGTGTATTTTAATGTTAGTAGAGATAAATATTCAAGAAACTGGAATATGACTGTATTCTAATTTAGAGCAACATTTAAGCAGGTATTAAATATACTTAAAGCTATATTGCTGTATTTAAAAAGTAACTTTTTTTAAAATACAGATGTAACATTCTAATTTTAAATATCACGCTTTCAATAACTGCAAGTGAAAAATCATCACAATTAACAGAAATAAAGACTTTCAAACATCCATATGTGTGTAATTCATTCATATAAAGCAGGGATGTCAAGCTCATTTTTATTTTGGGCCATATCAAAAATCTGAATGTTCTTTAAGGGCCGACTGTGCCAGAATGTATTGATAAAACCAACTAAACAGTTAAAGTATCAATAAATAGCTCTTCCTCCAGGATTTTGTGATGGGTTTAGTGAGTTTTTCCAATCAAAATTACATATTTTGTAGTGCCAGTTTAGAAATATTTGTAAGGAATTTGTACAATTTTTGCTCCAATGCATGATGTTAATAATTCACCATGACTGTAACTTGACATCAAGTAAAGCTGAGGCAGTGGTCACTTAAACTCAATGTCTTTGACCAATTTTGAGGAAGATTTGCTATAAAATCAGAACAAAAAGATTTGTTGATTTTGTGTACATTTTGCAGATTTCTTAAAAACTGGAAGGACTTATTGATGAAATCTGGAGTTTAGAGGGCCACGTAAAAAGCTACGGCGGGCCAGATTTGGTCCCCGGGCCTTGAGTTTGACACAAGTGATATAAAATGATAAAAATCCTGAAATAAACAGAATTTTCGATAATATTCTAATTCATTTAATGCTGTTCTGAGGGAGCCTCAGAGATTTGGTTTTTGAGAAAAATAGTCAACTGGATTATGAAGGCGAAGAAGCAACTCCAGACATCAGAAAGGTGTGGAGAAGAAAGCCGTTTTTTAGAAAGCTTCATTCAAAGTTTGACTGAAACCACAGGGAACATGTAGAAGAAAAAAAGCTCTGGTAATGTAAGACTAAAACTGAGCTTCTGAGTCTACAAGCAAAAAAACAAAAATCGTGCTCTATGTACTAGTTTGTGTTGGTCTATAACATAAAATCCTAATAAAATACATTGAAGTTTGAGGATCACCTTGAAAACATTCAGAGTACGTAGGGTTTTACACTGTAAGAACATAAAAAAATAATAATTTAAAGACATTTTTTTTTCCTTTTGTGAAACGACTCAATGGTGCTTTTGGCACTAACATTGCCGGTGCTGCAGGAATATTCCCTGTCCATACGAAGGGCTTAAGCAACCGGTCAAATATGTTATGAATAAACCTTTTACAAAGTAACTGAGATCAGACCACTAAAGTCTGGCTTTACCATCTACACTTACCATTATCCACTTATGGCCGCCAGATGACAAACTGCAAACCCTTTAAGCTGTCTGCTCGACTTTGTTTTAGTATTTTCTGACATTTCCTTAAGTGCCTTCTTGCATCGACTGCCATTTTCACTGTTGGTTTCTGCTGAAGAGCTGTCGAGTGATGGAAACAGAATGGCAACTCTAAGAAAGTCAACACTTTAATGAGTTCAAAGAGCACCGGGGTGGTATAACCCAACTTCAGACATGTATTACAATAAACCTACTGTCAGTGATTGACTTCTGAGGTGGCTTTTGTTTTGTTCTCCAGCCAAGGGTGGATGTCCTCCAGATTTGTGGGTCTATGAAAGTCGTAAAATTCATTGATCATCAGTCCAACACAAAGATATCTGGAAAGTGAACATAATACTCTGCCCTGTCTCACATTCTTTACCAAAGTTTATGAATCGTTCCACATTTTGTCCAAGCTTGTAGATAGTCAAACGGCCAGCAACCTTTCCTGACCGTTCCCTTTCTGCAGGAACGCTGAAACATTAGTGCTGACATGACACTTTCCTGGCCTCTCACCTGCAGGAAACAAAGTAAAAAAAAAAAAAAAAAAAACAGTTTTCATTTTAAACATAAAAGACTGCTGATCAGCTTATATTTTGTTTTCAGCACGCCAATCTACAAGTTCCTCTAAGTCCAGGCTTCCATCGGCCGCAAAAACCTACACATTCCTCCTCTGGGTCCGACCGCAGAGGCAGCTCGCCTCCTCCGTCGACCAAAACTCACTGTGAACGTTTCAAAGAGGAATTGACTCTCCAAGAAACACTGCCAGCTTTACCACTGAAATAGATTTCAATAAATTTTAATTTCCGCAGCCACTTTTCCTGGTCTTGAGAAGGTAATGAATTAGCAAACAAGGGCCTCAAAAGAATTCCCTCCCATTACTCTTTGCTCAATGAATTACTGTCGACCACACAAGAAAAACAAAGGATGGCAAGTTTATTTTGCTGCGGTGGGCCGTTTCAACATAGCAATTATTCACTGACACCACCATCAAAGGTTCTTCAATCAAAGACAGAGTACTCTGTAATGCATCGTCACATTATTATTAATAAAAATAAAAATACAAAAATGGAGGCATGTTTTGTATATTTTGACACAGGAAAAACTTACACTTGCTCAATATTAGTGCTGGAAGAAAGTTATTGCAGCAAAACTGACTAAAATGATGAAAAAAAAAAAACAACCCAGTCACATAAGGTCAATAATCAGCCCAAACTACAACGCAGTTACAGTTATTTTTAAGAGGACATTGAAAGTATGTTTTTAAAGAACAAAAATACAATATTTACTGTACAGTTCTGTAGAAGAAACACAGTTTTACGCACAACTTAGCAGATACAGTCTATTTAGTGTAAATGTCAATAAGATAAAAATGTTTAAAATAGAAAAAAAAGCAAACAAACAAGCAAAAAAAAAAAAACCTCAAAATTTTTTAATCATTATCCAAACATGTAAACATGTCTTTGCATGTACAGCAAATTACAAAAAAGTTTCAGAGCTTTTTGGGATTCTGTTTGAAAAACCAAGGCAAAGCAGCGCAACATTGTAAAGCGGAAAAAAAAAATAATAATAATTGGATTTACTAATTCTACCACAGATTTTTAATGAGGTTGAGGTTTTGACTAGGCCATGCTGCTGAATAAATAACTCTTGACCCATCCTGACGCAAGCACGCTAGTAAGGTTGAAGATTTATCAAATGCGAGGAAACCTCTCACTGCTTTGGTGAACTTGGTCGCTCCCGTTGCCCGGAGCGTCCCCGTTTTTATCTGCGTGAGCTCGCAGTAACTGTGGCCGTCTGCGTCTGCGTACGTGTGCGCTTAAGTGGCCTGCGTGTGGCCAGACTCGAAGGGCTGATCTTGGCCCCCGGCTCCTGCTGGCGTTCAGCGTGTCTGTAAAGAAACAGCTGGAGGCAAAGCCAACACCGGTCGCACTCAGGAGCTCGGCTCTGCCGGCGGCGACAGATTCCAGAACTTTCCACCGGCCCGCGTTGCCATGCCAACGGGCCTTGGCACGCCGCTGCTGTCCTCATCTGCACACCTGGCCCACCAAGGGTCCAGAATCACCTCTCCTGTCGCTGTGTGATGAACAGGTCATTTACAACCCAAGTGTTTGTGTGTTTTTCAGAGTTATGGGCCCGGGTAAAGAAAACAGCACGGCGCTGGACCTCCAGCGCTTCGCTCTAATCAAACAGAGCCGAGGATCGCAGCCCTGTAGACTAGCTGGGCTTACATTCGGTCAGGCTGTTACTGTGGAAAAGAAGAGTCCGTTAATAAAACAGTTCAGTGAGGACTTGTTGTTGATTGTCTATGATTGGATGCTCTTGTGGCTTGAGTTGGACTTATTGGCATGGAAAAACAAGATTTGCAACTCCTACAAGAGTTAAATCGGTTCTCACAGACTAGTTCTGTAGGTACTTCTATGTATATTATTGCAAAAGACATTTTTTTTTTCAAACGCGTTGGTGATCTTTGCCAACAGGTGGGGTAAGGTAAGGTCATTTTATTTATGGAGCACATTTTCAGCAACAAATATTTATAAGTTGAAAGTGCTTTACATGAATTAGATGGGAATGAAAGAAAATAACAAAGAGCAAAAGAAATAAAGAAAAGAAAGAAGTTAGTTTAAGAATAAGTAGTCCGCAATTTATAAACAAGTAGGTTTTTTTTCTGTATTCTTGTTCTGATAAAACTAGACGGTGCTTTCTAAATTTGTTCTAGATTTGTAAGTTTCTCTGGGTCTTAAATGTTTAATGCTAATGAGTAGTTTCTCTAGAAAAACTAATGGGAGTTTTCTCTGGATTCTAAGTTTGTTCTAATTCCTGTTCTAGGTTGAGTGAAGTATATAAACTAGATACTATAAGCTAGAGTTCTGGTTTGCTATAATAAGTATAAGTACTTCATAACTGGTTTCTCTGGATTCTTGTTCTGATAAAGCTAAATGTCGCTTCTCCAAGTTTGATTCTACAAAGTAGATTTCAATTTACTATTCTGATATCCTCCAAACATTTTCTTCCTGTCTTGAAACGCCTACCTGCGGACAAGATACCTGTGTGAAATTTTCTGTTTGTTTCATCAACTCTTCAAGCAAACTGAAGCACATTAATTAAAAACACGTCAGTCGGAGCGAATCTGTGGTTTAGCTGTAGCTAAAGCCAGATGGAGACCCGATTCGCTAAAGTCAAAATCCTCTGGTGTTACTATGACTGCATACACATTAGTGAAAACATTACTGACTTTTTTACAACAGCAACAACAAAAAGATAATCAGATTCACATCGGTGTGATAAAACAGTGACATAGGCGCAAGTAAAGAAATAGCATCGTATTTTGCAGGCTGAAAACGAGATAAAAGATTATGAAACCAGAAAAACACTGTGCGGTACGAGCGTAAAACGGCCAGACTGAGACCATTACTCTCATTACGGAGGCTTAATGTTGCATTTACCTTCAGAGTTAGGAATGACCTCACACCCTTAACTATGTTTTGTCTGCAAGTCAGAAAAAACAGTTGAATTTGCCCAATGTTTTGCTACGTGACCTGGCTGCAATTTGCCATACAAGCAAATAACCATCATGTCATTATGGAGGTTACAGAGTCGTACTCAGTAAAATAGAAAGTGCCTCCCAAAGAGGCCTGTTAGTCAGACCAGAATTACCTTTTGAAAATAACAACCCTCATGAAGCATTCTTTTAATTAAACACACCACATTTCTGCAATATTTTCTACTGGTCTGACGTAAAGTTCTACTTTTAGCAGAAAAACCGTCAAAATGAACAGAAATTTTCTACTTTTAGCAGAAAAACCGTCAAAATGAACAGAAATAAAATTTTAGTGTAATTCGTCTACTGATGATAATGTGTTGCTGACATAAATGAAGTTTTGTCATTTATTGAATATGACTGTAAATGTGATTATTACTAGAGTATGTGGTATTCTGTGTGTTTGACCCAATAAGTCCTGAAGTACAATAGCCTGGGTACATTTTAATGGATGTATTTTTCTTCATTTAAAAACAAACTCTACATAAAGCACATGGTGACAGTGGAGAGGAATTACTTCTCAGTCTTAACGGCCATCTGCTGCCACTCACCGGGGGTCAAGAGGTCAGACTGTAGTCGGAAAAGGCAGAGACGTGTTGGTCCAGGATGAGTTTTTATGGGAAGAAATATCTCTATCAAACAGAAATCGCTGAGTCAATAATATTTACCATGGAACAGATCAACAAATCAATTACAGTAGCAGTTCTGTTAATAGTCCTGTCCTGTCCTAATAAACACAGAGTCACTTTAAGAGAGCCGAGCAAACAGAGGGAGAATTACTAATGCCAGTCCATTTGAAAAGTATCTAAACTTTTATCTAAACTCCTTTTAGATAAAATTATCTTTAATAAAGTTTTGCATTCCAAACTGTTTGAGGAGATTTCCTTTACTTAGATTGAAGCTTTGTCGGCTCCAGACCTTTCACTTGTTTTTGTTTTGTTGCTGTTGCCCAGAGCAACAGCAGCTCTGTTTTTAGTGAAAAACGTCTTAGTTCATTTTGTTTTAATAGATCCTATCATTTTACTTCCTTTATGAGTCAGGTAACAAAACCATTGCCGGTGAGTGTAGCCAGTTGTTGCCGTGTCAGGCTGTGATTTTATGCCATTAGATAAACATATAATTACAGAACAGCAAAGATACGGCACATTTTCGTCACCAACATATCTCTGTATGTTGGTCAAAAAGTAAAAACAAATATTACCTATCAAGTGGAAAACTTAAGTTGGAGTTTTGGTGTTAAACTAGTATTAGTTTAACACCAACGTCTCCACATTCTGTAGAGAGACGTCATCCTTACTGGCCAAAACACAAATAAATATGATTGATTAATAATTAAGAGCATATTGTTCATTAAAAAGTTAACAGCATGAAATTGCTGCTGAGAAAAGACAAAACTTGATGCTGTGAAAAGGGAATTTTACCTATGGAGCCTTGAGTTGTTTTAAGACATAAACTCAAGATCTTGGCAGCAAGCTAACGATGTGTTTTTTTTTGTTTTTTTTGTTTTTTGTACTTATGACTAGCCATTCTAATTCATTTTTGGAAAAAGAAAAATGTCATAACCTGATATTCAAGGAGGAGAAGTAAGAGGTTAGGCACATCATAAAATGCACATTTCACCTGGTTTATTTTGGCTCAAACATCTTTTAAAGCAAAGCTTAGCGGAGAAACTATTTTGAATTTGTGCTGGACGCAGTCGCCACCCAGGATTCTCCGAGTGTAAATTTACACACAAACATTCTCTCCCACAGTCGGGGTGGAGCATAAAGAGAAAACACGATTTGTGCGTGGATGTCTGACATGTGAGCACTTTGATTGATGGGCAGCTGCAGCGCACAGGCCGATCCTTATTGAAGGCGAGAGGCTGCCAGCTCTGACGGATGCGTGGGCTTCGGTCTCCTTGGTACATGATCAGGTGTTTGACTGTCTGGTAGGAAGGAAGTCCTTATTAATTTTGAGAAGGCCACGGCTCAGCAACCTCAGTTATGCCTGCTCACACACACACACACACACACACACACACACACACACACACACACACACACACACACACACACACAGATACATGCTCACACGCAAACAGAATCCCATCCAAACAGCACACGCCTGCTCTCGCTGTGGTTCGTTACCGTACGGGAGAGCTGGTGTGCTGTTACACGAAGAGGCCTGATTGGGTGCAGAGACGAACAGCTGCAAAGGTGTTAAAATAAATCCGAAAACATCTGGGGGGTTTCTTCTGGGTGATTTTTCTTTTTATTTCCTAGATTTTATTGCAGTAAGATGTTTAAAAGTTGTATATTTTTACCCACTTGGCACCGGTGGGACTAGTGAACAAATAGAGTAAGGGTTGTCCCAGTATACACCTGAGTGTCCTGTCCAAACTAAACTCTGATTTGTGGATTTGACGTCAGTTTCATCCACAGTGTTAGCTGGGGAGCCATGCGGCCAAGTTTTGCGCAGCTATGATTATTAAAATGAACATCTGGAAAAACTGCATCACTGCTTTTGAGCAATATTTTTGATGATCTAATAAATGTGGATTTTCCCTAAAAATCTAGATGTGTCTCAAATCCCTTACGATGACTTTTTGGCTGTGACTGTGTGGTATTACGTGTTGCTTATTCGGTTGTGCTCAGATGCCGTCAAAGTGTCTGTGTAGACCACACAGCAGATTTTACTTTGTTCAGATCCAAAGTGTTACTGTTCCTACATCCAGACAGTAAAACTTGAGACAGATAATCTAAGAAAAAAAAAAAAAGTAGACTGCTCTTCCTCCTCTCAGCGGTCCTATTGCCATCTGTAGAAATGCCCCACTCCTGATCAGAAATGACCAATCATAACCAGGTGGAGGGTTTTAGTGCTGACAATCATGTTTATGCATGCATCACTCATGTTGTTCCCCCTTGCTCTGAGCTACGCTGCAGTTAATTCACCACAATGAATGCTCAGGCCATCGGTGATGGCAGATAACCGATTTTCCTGGAAGGTTAAGTTGTTTCTCCACCATTTGCACGTTGAGCAGCATATAAACGAGCATTATTGACAACACTAGGAGCTTTCTCCTTGCTCTGATTTGTTGTTTCTAACCTTAATCTTAACCCTTTTACACAGATTATCTGTCTCATAATGGTTTTTTTTTTAAATATATAAAACAGATGTTCTACAAAATTTTATTGATTCTCCTTGGATTTTTTTAACACTTCAAATTACAAAACAATATAGGAAACAGAAAAGGCAGCTTAAGTTTTAATGGATCTTTTTTTTTTGGAATTTAGAAAAACATTCATATTCATATATTTTGATTTGTAAGTAATCTCTACGCAAAACTATAGATATGGTTAAACTCTAAACTTAATTTAAAAAGAAAAACGTTTTAGTAATTTTTTTT